TGACTCTGTCGCGTGCTGAAGAAGGCTCCATGACGGAGAGCGGCAATGACTCTCCATGCTGCATCGTCGTCTGAAAGCTCCCTCCATCTACGTCGTCTCTCGCTCGGCAGGCCTGCGTCGCAGCGCCCATCCGAAACCCGTCGAGTTCCAACCACCTCGTCCGCTCCTCTCCTCCCTCTCTGAGCTGGCTCACTTCACCGCCCCTACACCATGGCCTGGTTCCTGAGAGGTGTCCAGAGTGCCCTCTTCCACTACGCCTCATGCGCCCCCTGTACCGGCTACAGCGACGGCAGAAAAAGACGCAAGGCGGCCAAAGAGGCCCGCAAGCTGAGAGAGAAGCTGGAACTCGAGCAGCCAGGCGCATACTACCATCCTGAGCCTACTGGCACAAATGCCTACTGGAGCGAGGAAATCGCAATGGGCCCTGGCCCACCACCCCGGAGATCGAGGAAAACCAACACCACACAAAGGACCGGCTCGAGGGGACTGCCCACGCGCGGCACCCAGAGCTCGAGCCTGAGCAAAGGCGGAAGCAGCCTCGATGTCGGCCATGCAGCTGAAAACCGCCTCAGCGACGACACGCTCGATGACGACGACGAGACTTGGAACCACAAGCGCTACCAGCGAGAAGACGAGGATCTGTGGGGTTACGACGATCATTCCACAGCCCTCGAACATACAATGACAGGCTCATCTGTAGGTGGTGGCGGCTACCAATTGCAAAGGCCAAATGTGTCTAGGTCTGGAAGCTACTATGTCGCGCGCGTCCCTCCGGTCAATGAGCTGCACCCGCCCGTCGTTAGCCTGCCGTCCCCGGATCCTTCGGAAAACAGGTGGATGCTCCAACCCCCGCCCAAAGCTAGTGTCATGGCAGGCAAAGAGCGAGCAAAGAACCGGAGTCGCAGTGGCAGTGGTGCAAGCAGTCGCGTAGAACTGAGCCTGGGTCGCCAAGTGAGCACCCGACAACTGATGCAGAAGATTGAACGCGGACAGACACCCGATCGCCTCACAAACTCTCCAAACGGCTCCTACTCGAATCTTGTACACGGTCGCTGCAAGACACCCCAAGCCCGGCCCCCGTCTGCCACTAGCAGCTCACCCAACAGGAAAAGACGCGACACGGCCATGGCCCGCGACCTGGCCATTGCACGCACAGACACCGCCAGCACCCAGCATTCTTCTCTCGACCCCAGTGACATTACCGTGCGCGGCAGTTCCACTCTGAGTGTCGACGTGCAAGTAGTCCGCACCCACCAAAGCCGGCCGCTTCTCTCAACCGTGTCCTCGAGCAACTCTGGTCAAAACGAGAACACTGTTCCCGAGAAGCCCAAACCTGTTGTATATCGCAACTCCACCACCACTTCCACTTCCGACCTCAGCTCCCTCAACTGCCTCCAAGATCTCGTCTCCCCCCAAGCCTTGCTCACCTCGCGCTTTGTCTCTGCAACCCCCTTGGTCGAAGCCAAGATCCGCTTACCCCCTTCAGAAGAAGACATTGCTGCTCGAGCCCGCAAAGACAAGATTGCCCGCATCCACAAGCATGACGACGATGATCAGGCACATGCCATTGTCAATGTGCCTTTTGATCGTGAATCCGGTCCTCCGGAGAAGGATCCTGCCTTTCGATGGAGTGTGGATTTTTGACATCCATATGTCCGTTGACGTAAACTCGCATTTGGACGTCTGTTTTTCTTGCAGTAAATTTCCACTCTGACCTTTTTTCTTCTTTTCTTTTGACTCGTACGGTATGACTGGACAGCATCCGTATGAGCAATGCTGGCCGGCACGTGCTACCTCTTCTTTTTTTTCAACCCTCTCTCTCTCTCTCTCTCGCGGGACAGAGAGAGAGGGATAGCCTGGTATCGCTCTGCTGCCAATTCGTCGCCAAATCTTCTTTTTGAGAGCGTGGTCCCTTTTTTTTCCCTTCCTCTACTCTTACTCTTTTTCTTCTTCCCTGCATCCAGGACTAACTTTTTTTCTTGTTGCTGTCGCTGTCGCTGTCGCTGTTTTGCGTCATTCTTTTGCCCTTTCTCCCTCTTCCCTTTTGTCTTCCAATGAAGCGTCTTTTCCCTTATAGCGAGAGCGAAGAGAGCAAATTTTTTTGCATTTTTTTGGGATCGTTTTTTTGGCGTGGATATAGATATGACTGATATGACCTGTTTTTGCAACTCACTGGTGGCGTTTTTTTTTTCTCTCTATTCGTTTGATTGGATTCTTTGCCGTTTTGTTCTGGGTCTGGGGTACTAAGGGCATTTTGAGCATTTTTCTTTTCTTTTCTTTTCTCATCACTTTCTTTTCCCTTTGTTGTGGTTGTGGTTGTGGTTGTTGTCGTTGCTAGTTGGCTGGTTGATCGATTGGTCCTCATTTCACAATGTGTAAATATCATTGCGTGAGTAGAGCATTAGCTTCAGGTAGTTTGTTGTAGTTGTAGTTGTGGAGTCCTTTCTTCTACAAACAAAAATATAATTCATGCAAGACTGAATTTTTTTTTCTCTGGGTCCAGTTGCAAGTATCGTCTTGGTCGAAACAAAATTATCGATCCAAGGTGAAGGAAGTGCACGAAGTTTCTATCAAACTGCATATATATCATCATCTTTCTTGTCCGATCAAATCGTAAATTTCTACCCTCCTTCTTTTTCTCCCTTATCTACCATACCACTTTCCCCCAACCTCTCTTCCAACCAAAACAACAAAAAATAAAATAAGCTTAACCACGAGCTCCCCCTCCCCCCCAACCATTCCCATCTATCCCCTCCCTCCAAGAAGAAGAAGAAGAAGAAGAAGAAGAAGAAGAAGAAGAAGAAGAAGAAGAAGAAGAAGAAGAAGAAGAA